AATAATTTTAATAACAAATAATTTCGTAATAATCCAAATAATTCATAATTACTTTTCTTACGTTTTTATAATAAATATTTCTTAATTTTTTATTGGCTGTTTTGAGAATATTTATAATAAATTGTTGAGGATATTCATCAAATGCATATCTTGAATGAAAATAATGAAAAATACTTAATTGTGTAAAAGATGATGATGAAGACAAGTAATTATATAATCCATCACAATCTTCAATATAAAGTTCTTGAAGTGAAGTAAACTGACCAATTGATGATGATGATTTTTCCTCGAAATCATAAAAATATACTTTTTTTAAACAAAGACGCTTTAATGTTTCTTTTTGACTAATTATAGCCCAAAATATTGAATCACAAGAATCTCGATTATATGGATAATCAAAAGCATCAATTAATAGATTTTCTAAACGTTTTTGAACACTAATAAGTTTAGAGAATAATTGCAATTGAGAATATGAGTACAAGAACAAATCCATATCTAAAATATTATCACAAATTAATTTTAATGATTCATATAAAGGAAAAATCTGGTAATCGTTTCCTATCATCGAAGTAAAATTTTTTAAATTTTTAAATACTTTTGGGGCACCAGGTAACTCGAGAATTGAACCCATTAAATCACTATAATGACAAAAATTTTCGACTCCCTCCAAACTAAAATAATCCAGGAATGAGCAACGATTTATTATTAATTTACATATCTCACGAAATAATACTCTCGATTCGTTCTTATTATTATTGTTGTTGTTATTATCTTGATTCGAACCAATAATTTGTTGTGAATATATGGAAATAAAATTAATAAAATTATTAATTATAAATTTATGAGTGAATGATGGATAATCAAATGTAGCTTGAGACGGTGATGATGATAAATCAAATCCATTTCGTGTAAGTAAAGTTCTGGCTTGAGTATCCATGCATGATACACAAGTTCTAATACAAAACGCTTTATTCCTCAAATTATCCCAATTAAATTCTTGATCCAAAACTAATTCCCAAATTATAGGTATAGTAACTTTACACCAGAATCGATTAACTAATAATGATGAATATAAATCTTGAATTGATTTAAAATTATTTAATATTATAATCAATAATTCTGTTGAAATTTTGGCATTTTATTTCTCGGAAATAAAAAGAAAATTTTTTAAAAAAATAATCGTTTCACATTTCTAAAGATAAGTGTTAATGACTAAAGATGACTGTTATCAAAGATGTAAAATATTAATATCAATTCTTGATTAGATTACATCCATGACACAAAATTTGGTGATTTTTTCTCACACAACCCTTTATGTTTGTATTTTTTTCAATTCACTTTATTCACTTTGGAGGTCCTATTTGTAGTTAAAATTTGTTTGATACTGGCCCATTGTTAACACTAATTTAGATTAACTGTCCTTATTTGGGAATCAAAGTGTATCCAGGAATTTATAAAATTAAGAAGCCCTATATTTCAGAATTTTTGGATTTTATCTTAAAGCGTTACATCTAAAAATGATTAACAAAAATTCGCAACGATGTGACCTATATGTATGCAACAATATTTATCAAAAATAATAATCAAAACAACATCATCATAAAATGTGATTAAATAATCATCATCGGAGAGAAAAATGTGAGGGATAACTAGTTTTAGACATGATGATAAATAATTAACCTTATAATTACGTATAAATTTTTAGAAATGGATTATTTAAAAACTAATATCCAAAAATAATTTTTTAATTTTTTATTAATTAATTGATTATTCCTTGGAATAAAAGCGGAAAAAGAGGAATTTATGCAAACCGAACCTCCAAAAATCTCCCGCCAATCAAATTTTTAGTTTATTTAAGCATAATAAAGTTATTAGGAAATTAATTTGATTGCATACATACAAATTACAAACTTTTATTATTAAATTGATCCGTAATCTTATTTTTATTTATTATCATAGTATAGATTTTACCCTATTGTTATTCCTTTTTCGGTGAAGTCACGGCACAAAATACCTTCACCCAATTGGTGAGTATTGGTAAGTTCTCAAGTTCAATCACTTGCCAACAATACTCTTTTTTTGGGAAGATTTTCGTGACCCGAAATGGAAAAAAAAGGACAAGAATTTATATACATGGTACATGATCGTGACCATTTAGAAGAATAACCTCCACCCACCTACCCAAAGAATAGTGGGTGTTTATATAATTTCTGAAATTTTTAAAAATATATTTTTTTTACTATCGCTAATAGAAAATTAATCATTTTATTATTTTCTATAAGCGATAGTAAAAAAACAATTTTTTTTTTTTACTATTTAATAAATCTTTTAAATTCACTGGAGTCTTGCTCCAATAAACTTTTATTAATAAATTAGGTGTAAATTTTAAAGATACATATAATTTATTTTACATTTATTGAAACTGACTAAAATAACATTTTACAGTCCAACTCATTGTTGCCTAAATGTAACCTCAGAAACTGATGGCCAAAACCCCATCAGATGTAATTATTATATATATAACTAGCTATCCACCATATTAAATATTCCACATGATGAAAACTTGAAATGGGCATTTGTGAAGGGCTCAAACCTGAAATTGAATATGAAATTCTCCAATTTCTCAAAGAAATAATGGAAAAATGCTGGAATTTTGAACCGCTCAATTGTCTAACGGCTAATGAACTGAAATCTCAACTTGATAAATATGATTTTGATGATGATGAAATAAGAACACAAGTAAACAAACAAATTAAAGCAGCAAATGAACCAAACGTGAATTTTATCAGATATAATCCAAAAGAAATGCATCTTGAAGCAATATATACAAGCAGACATTTGCCTTTTCTGAGATCCAAAAAATTTGAAACTAATAAACATGGTAATTATTTATTTTTTTTAACAAAAAATAAATGAACTTTTTAATATAAAATATTTACATTCATTATTATTTTAGATACAAAACAATGGGATTTGAAAGTTCCTGATGATGTAAGTGAGTATTATATTTCTTGAATTATTTTTTAAATATTGTTTAATAATTTATCGAAATGAAATTAACAAACAATCTTTAAATTTGCATAGTTTAAGAAATAAAATTCTGAAAAATTAAACAGTAATTTGTGTAAATTTATTTTTTAGCCCTGATTCATTGTGTTATTGTACAACTTTTGTGTTTTCCCTGAAATTATTTATTCATTATTTTATTATATTTTATATTTTATTATTTTATTTGAGCGCTGGTATTATAAAGTATAGCTTTGTTTAAATTATAGCAACCAGTATGTAATCATTTAAAATAAATCATTATTGACTTGATATCTCAAAAAATCAAATATTTGAATTATTTATTGTGCAAAGGTAAACTAAAATCAAAAAAAGTTAACTTTATTTTCAATTAATTGTATTGTTTGTTTATGCTTCAATTATAAAAGTTAGAAAGAAAGTGTTATTTATATTTATAGTTTTTTATCAAAAGTCACAGACAACTAGAATTAATGAAAAATTACTAAATTTCGAATGCTAATTTTTTTTTATCAGATTCTCAGCTATCAAATACTTTATTTTTTGTTAAAATTAAATGTCGATGCATAGCGAAATTTCATTTCAAATAAATTGCCAAAAATAATAAATCCAAACTTTGATCGTTCCCCATACCAGACTTGATGGCTATTAACTGGAGCTGATGCATGTTCACGATCATTTCGCCACATTATTCGAATGTATAATGACTTTCTCTAACAATATCTTCGATACTTTCCACCATAAAAATTATAATTTATTTTGCTATTCGTAGAATCATCAAATATAAATATATTCATTATATAAACATTATTTTTTGTACGTTTTTCAGCAGTTTCTTGTTTTTAAAAAAAAAAAAACAAAAATGGCGATCATTAAAGATCTGCACTTAAAAAATAATTTGGTTATAAATGAAATGTTAATTTTTTCGGTGTGACTTAGTCATGTATAAATCGGCGGCTTGTTTAATACTTAGTTATCAAATTAAGAAATAATCATGTTCCAAGAAATAACTAAAGATTATGAAGATATAAACGAATGGGAGTCTTGGATGGATAATTTGATTATTGAAGATACTATTCAAAAAGAAATTATCCCATTTTATCAATATTCCGAATTTGAAAATATAAAATTAATTGATGATAATAATAAAAATGTTTATAAGGCCACTTTTAAAATTTCTCAAAAAACCGTTGCCCTTAAATGTATTTCTTTAACGGATAAATTTACGCTAAACAATTTAATAAATGAAGTGAGTTAAATTAAATTGCTTCTATTATTACAATAATACTATATACTATTTTTACTATTTTTTATTTATTTAATGAAAAAGATTAAAAGACATCGAAAATTGGAAATTCATGACTGCATTCTTAAGTTCTATGGCATTACTAAACAAGTTAAAAAATATAAAATACAAAATATTTAAATTTACTATTCTTCACTTATTTTTGCTTTATTTTTTATTATAGAAAGTACCAATAAATATATGATAATTCTTAAATATGCCAATAATGGAACTCTTCGTCAATATTTGAAAACGAATTTTCAAAAATTGGATTGGAATGCAAAATTAATTCTCGCAAAACTAATTTCAAATATTTTGATGTATTTACATTCCAATGACTTTATTCATGGGAGATTGGTAACAAATATTATTTTTTTTATTTAGTGTTAACCAAAAAAAAAAAAATAAATTGACTTAAAATTCATTTTATTATCGATCAGAATTCCGAAGATATTCTTATTCATAATGGTCATATTAAATTTAATATTTTTGGATTACGAAAAATTATTCCTGAATCTTTAAAATTCCTTACAAATATTTGTGGTCCAATTCAATACATTGACCCCCCAATATTTGGAAATTTTCATACAATTGGTAAAAATAAGAGTTCGGATATTTTCAGTTAGGGAATTATTCTCTGGGAAATTTCTAGTGGTAACCCGCCTTTTGAAATGGAATCAATGGAGTCCTCATCAAAATTTCCGAATGATGACTTGTTAATTGATATTGTAAAAGGAAAAAGGGAAACGATTATACCTGGAACACCTCCTAAATATAAGGAACTATATACTGGTATAAATTTATAAATTTATAACCACTTATAATATATACATAATAATTTATTAAAGTATTATTTTTTTTCAGAATGTAGGAAGCATGATAAAAATTCACGACCAAATATTTCTCAAGTAGAAGAAATTCTTTCTGGAATAATTATCTCTGATGAAATTGTTCCTCTTCCCCAATCGCAACCTCATAGTATCTCCTATGAAATTGTTGCGCCTCCTCAATCACAACCTCAAAATATCTCAGATGAAATGATTTCTGTTAAATTGGAAAATATAAATGTGTATGTCACAATTTTATATTTATATGTATTATCCTAGGACATCTATCTAATTATAATAAAAAAATTTTTTTATTAAGACAAAATGAAGAATTAGAAGTTGAACCGGACCGCCCTTTCACTGCTGACGACTCGGTTGAAATTAGTGATTTTATTAAGGATTTATTTGAATTTTTCATCGATACATTCAAAAAACAAACTCTTGTCACGCAACCAATTATGATCAAAAATTATATTAGAGAACGCAACAATATTAATCCAGTTAAAGTTCTATATGAAATAATGATTAGTAATGCATCGCATTATTGGTTTACTAGTTTAATAGGATTTTTCTATAAGAATGGCACGATTGTTGATAACCAAATGGCATTTCATTTCTTTAGTTTAGCTGACAATGAAATGATTGATATGAAAAATATCTACTCTAATTCCCCATCGTCAAAAAATTATGACATCAACAAAGAAATTGGACTCGTCTATCTTGCGGATATGCATTTAAATGGTATAGGTTTTGAAAAGGATCCGAAAAAGGCATTTCGAATTTATTCTAAAATTGCTAATGAAGGATCATCTGTAGCTTTAAATGAAGTTGCGTTTTGTTATAGAAAAGGGTTGGGCGCTAAAAAAAATCAAAAAATGTTATTTGAATTATATTTGAAATCTGCTGAAGATGGATGTCCTATAGCACAATACAGAGTTGGTTTATGTTGTAGATACGGAATAGGAACATCGAAATCTGAAGTTAAAGGATTTCAATGGGGTTCAAAATCAGCCCTTGCTGGGAACATCAGTGCAATATGTGATACTGGTTATTGTTATTCTAGAGGTATAGGTGTGGATCTTGATGTAAATTTATCATTCGAATGGTATCTGAAAGCTGCCGAAAGTGGGTATTCTACAGCAGAATATTATTTAGGATTGCTTTATGATAATGGTTACAGATCTGGTACAGATGGTGTCACGTCTGGACAGCACACAAACCAAATTACACAATAAATTCTATTTTTAGTTACACCGATAGCTTACACTTCT